TTTCCCTCTTTCTCCATCAATTGCACATGCTCTATAACAAAACACTTTAAAAATAAATTTAAAAATAAAGTATGAGTATGATATAACAAATGTTGAAATCCATACATGTTTTTTTCTCAACACACATTTTCCAGGAACTTTTTGAAGGCCTTTCATATGTAATACCTAAATTACTTACCAAATTGTTGCTGATTTTCTCTTTTTAAAGCCAGCTGTATTTGAGGTAGCAGAATATAGAAGCTAGAAGTATTTTATACTGAAGTTAAGCCAGAACCCCAAAGATAAAATATTTTTTTATTTCAGAAAAGATTTCAAAGATTTACTTTACAAAATAACATCATTATTTGGAAGTACATGCAGAAAAATGAAAGGCACTATCATTTTTGTCAGCATATCAGTGTGAATCATTTTAAAGCAATGGTTTCTACCAAACACATAAAATATTTCATGCCATAAAACATTTCATCCAGTGAATCATCATGTCGGGCCCTTCACTTTACATATTGGGGAGAAGCGCTCATCGCTGTTTCTTATTACTGATAAAAACGAATGGAACACTTTATAATGAAATTATTACTTATGTTTCACCAGAAGAGAGAAAAATTACACGATGAAGAGGAAAGAAAAAGTGCCTGGGTTAGCCAAGAGAGACAGAGAACACTGGATAGACTGCGAACATTTAAACAGGTAAGAAAAGTGTGGTCCATTTATTGTTTTTCCTTGCTTTTCTTTATCTACCTGTTTTTGGTTTTGTTTTGTTTGTTTGTTTGTTTGTTTGTTTGCTGTACGGCACAGATGCTCACCAGAGAGAGAGAAAGAGAGAGAGAAGCACCTCCCATTGGGAATGGTCATACTGCAGTCCCTTCTGCTTTATTTCTCCCTTGTTTTTCAGGATTTGGGGCTCATATGCACATGCACCCAGTGTGTTTCTCAAGCTACCAGGTCTGGGACTCTTAACTACATCATCAACCGTGTGGGACCCAGCTGCCTTAATCACTGGGCCATTAGAGCAACCCCATTTTTCACAGCTTTCAAAACAGAGCTACAGGGCTGTTCCATGGACTGGTGGTCAAGGAAGCCAGATCCCACGTGGCCAACTGCACAGTTCAATTGTTAGACCTAGTGGCTTGAAAAACATGCCAGGTACTTTGTGTGTGTGCCCAGAATCTTCAAAGGAGGGCAATGTGGAGGATGAGGGATTGCAGAGTGACCATGCCCCACATGTGTGTCGGAGGTTGGTTTCCCCTTGTCCATTCCTCTGTAGCTCTCTGGAGAGCTCACGTACCCTCTTTAAAAAAATAACGCTACAGGGAACCAGCAGTTAGTGTAATGTCTATGTCGCTGGACTCCCACGTAGTCGACTGCGGTTTGTGTCCCAGACCCGGTGGCTTACACTCACGCTGGGTGCATGTGCGTGTGTGCCCAAGATCCCGAGAGGAGAATGGAGGAGAAGGGATTGCGGCGTGGCCATCCCCTGGGGGGGTGATTTCTCGCTTTCTGTCTCTCTGTCTCTCTGCTGGCGAGCGCACGCGCCCTATAGCAAAAACCTCTCCAAAAAAAAAAGGTAAAAAAAAAATAATAAAATAACGCTACACACACTCCTATTACAGGATTTGTGTAAGAAAAAGTTGCTTTTCCCTTTTTTTATGTAGAATACATTATGACCACTGCAGTCCTTTTTAAATTGTTCTGATTGCATGGTTCTCTTTCCTCTGGTTATTTCCAGAATTAACATTGCTTGTCACTCTTGGTCTTTGGCTTCCGTAATTTAAAAGGAATGATGAGGGGACCAGCAGATGCCATAATGGTTACATCACTGGATTCCCACGTAGTCAATCGTGGTTTGAATCCCAGACTCAGTGTCTTAAACTCATGCCAAGTTTGTGTGTATGCATGCCCAAAATTCCTAGAGGAGAATGGAGGAGAAAGAATTGTGGAGTGGCCATCCCTCTAGGGCAGGATGATTTCTCTTTCTTTCTTTCTATCTCTCGCTCCAGCAAGCGCACACACACTATAGCAAAAATCTCTTTTTTTTAAAAAAAAAAAAAAATGGAAAAGGAATGTTCAGGACTTCAGGGGACCTAAATTCCTCTTGAATTTTATAAAAATATTTGATTTACAACTGTCCAACTCAAACATCAGCTTATTAATTCCATATACATCTACCTGTGGTGGTAAAATATGGAAATGACCATTGGCAGAATTACAGGGTACAGCAACATCTGTGAAGGAAGCTTGAGCTCACCCTTGACGTTGGATGTCAAGATCACAGTTGTTAGTGTTCGGAGCCTTATTCCAGTTGTCCATGCTGAGGGAGCACCTTAGAAGTGAAGTGGGCTTCCACTCAAGTCCCTGTAGTATCACAAAGAAAATAAGGAGTGAGGAAGGGCATCCTTGACACAGGATAAGCCTTGTGTTAAGGAAATGTTGTCTACTAATGATATTAATACTAGGCTTATTATTGTAGCCATATAAAGTGAGAGATCTGTATCTCTTCTGCAGAAAGTGCTCTCTCTCTGTCTTCACTCTTAGAATGCACAGTTATCAGAACTTTTGTAACAAATTAAAAGAACATTTTTGAGGGACAAGCAGTTAGCATAATGGCTATGTTGCTGGACTTCCATGTAGTTGACTGTGGTTCGAGTCCCAGACCCAGTGGCTTAAATTCAGGCCAGGTGTGTGTGCGTGCGTGCCCAGGATTCCAAGAGAATGAAGGAGAAGGGATTGTGGAATGGCCATCCCCCCTGGGGGGTGATTTCTTGCTTTCTGTCTCTGTCTCTGTCTGGGCTGCCCCCCCCCCCTTTGGGAAAAACCCCCCAAAAAAAAAAAAAAAAAAAGAACATTGTTTAGGTGGTGTGGAGGTTAAGGTGCAGGATCCCACATGACCAATTCTTTGGTTCGAATCCCAGACTCACTTGAAAATCATGCCAGATGCATGTGTGTGCATGTATGCCCAAAATCTCAAGAGGAGAATGAAGGAACAGAGATTGCAGCATGGTCATCTCCCCCCCCCCCCCAGAGGGTGATTTCTCATTTTCCAAACCTTCCTCTGTCTGTGGAAAGCACATATGTCCTATAGCAAAAGCTAAAAAATAAAGAACACTGCTTAAGGTTTTATTTTTGTTCATTCATTTAGAGAGGTATATGCTATAGGGCATGTACATTTGCTGGAGAGACAGAGAGAGACAGAGAGATAGCAAGAAATCACCCCCCCTCCCCCAGGGAGGATGGTTATGCTGCAATTCCTTCACCTCCATTCTCCTCCTGGGATCTTGGGCATACATACATATTCTCCTGGAGTGAGTTTTAAGTCGCCAGATCTGGGACTCGAACCAGTGTCGACTACATGAGAGTCCCATGGGGTAACCATTATACCATCTGCTGGTCCCCAATAGTTGCCTTATTTAAATAAGGTCTTAATAATGGATTTAATAAAGGGATAATACAGAGGTTCATAATAATTGTTTAAAAGGCATTAGGCATTGGTATTCTGGTTTTCTGTATAATTTCATTGAAGAATTTTCCCTGAAAATTACAAGAGAGCCAAAATAACATCTTTTGTTTAAAGGAGAAAATAAATATAAGTTGTTTTAATATAGTTTAACCAGCTTTAATAACTGTTGATATTTTAGAGGTACCCAGGGCAAGTCATACTCAAGTCGACCAGATCACGACTGGCTCATGCAAGAAGGAAAAGTGCAGCAAGTCCTGTGCCCCAGGAGGGCCAGAGTGACTCTTCACCAGGAGCGAGGCAGGTAGAAGAGAAGACCGAAGAGGTGGGAGAAGGAAGAGGCCCACTCGGGTCACCACAGACGGCGGAGCTCCAGAGCCTTGCTCCACTTGAAGATACTTCATTAGCACCACTTGAAGCCACTTCATTACCTCTCAGCGGTGTTACCTCTGAACTGCCTCCCACTGTATCTCCTCCACTCTTGAATAATAATGACCTTGAGTCATGTTCTGTTACCATGGGTCCACTCCCACCACCTCTTCCTCCAACACCCCCTCCTCCCCCACCTCCCCCACCACCACCCCTGCCTATTGCTAAGGACAGTGCTCCAGAGACAATGGAGAAAGGTCTGCCCAGAAAAGAGGGGAATGAGAAGAGGATCCCAAAGTCTGCCAGTGCCCCCTCAGCACATCTGTTTGATAGCAGCCAGCTGGTTAGTGCCCGGAAGAAGCTCAGAAAGACTGCGGAAGGCTTGCAGAGGAGGAGAGGTAAGTTAAACACACATTTTCACATACATCTGTTGTATAAAGTAAAGCATAACCTAATAACCTTATATTTCATTTGCCCCTGCAAAGCTTAAATGTTATTGTTGGACATCATTTGACAGTGAATGGGCTTTCAAGGTTGCAGGAGAGAATTCTTACCAACCTACAACAACAGATGTGTACAGATATGCAGAAATGCGTACCATCTTGACCTGCTAAGCTTTTTTTTGGGAGAGGTTTATGCTATAGGGCGCATGCGCTTGCCAGAAAGACAGAAAGAGACAGACTGAAAGCAAAAAATCCCCCACAAGTGGGGCTGGCCACGCCACAATCCCTTCTCCATTCTTTCCTCAGGATCTTGGGCATGCATGCACACGCGCCTGGTGTGAGTTTAAGCCACCAGGTCTGGGAATCAAACCGTGGTCAACTACTTGGGAGTCCAGCAACATAGCCATAATGCCAACTGCTGCTCCCATTTAAGCATGTTTTTAAAATATATCTTCTGGGAAGTGATACTTTATCTATTTGGTAATGCATAGTGTGTGGCTCCTTTTGTGTTAGGAGCAAAATCTAATTTTAAACTTGGGAGGTAAAACTCACATATGAAAGGGTAAGCCGATCTGGACAGCACTGTTGTACTGGGATACCTTGGCAGAACCTTGTAACATTTGGTCACATTTATGTAGAACCTTTATGTAAAGTGTCGAAGAATAGAGAGTAGTATGTGTTATTTGTCGCATGCCAGATATGCCTCAGTAAGGTTGTTTCTAAACAGAACAGAAAATAATCTTTACATTTGAGGAGCTTTCAGTTTGCTCGGGGATAAAGCAGTTTGCATATTTAATCTGAGAGACCACTCTATAAAATATTTCTTACTATAATCTGCATAAAATTTCATACATAAAACAGCTAAGTCAAAAGATCATTTTGACCATAATGAACCAAAATTGAATTTTTAAAAATGAAATTGTAACCAAACCACCATCTGAATTAGGACCAGGCAGGGGCAGTATGGAAATACCTGGAGAGTCTCACACGTGATATTACTTAAGACTACTACTGCTTTGTTCCTAATCTCCTCAGTTTTCTCACATGGGAAATGATGGGAATTCCACCAGTATCTGCCATGGAATTTGAATCTTTAAACAAGGATAATCAGGATCCCTTCTGCTTTTGACAGCTCTCTGCCAACACATTAGGATCCATTTTGTAGATGGTATTTGCATCCTGGACTTTGATGCTCCAGAACTGTTGAGGTTATACAGTTGGACTCTACGTATAATCCTAATTGTAATTGTTCTGTTTCATTTCCCAAAGTGAGCTCACCCATGGATGAGGTGCTAGCTTCCTTGAAGCGTGGTAGTTTTCATCTGAGAAAGGTTGAACAGCGAACTCTGCCTCCTTTTCCTGACGAAGATGATAGTAATAATATCTTGGCACAAATAAGGAAAGGGGTAAAATTGAAGAAGGTACAGAAGGAAGTGTTGAGAGAATCCTTCACACTTCTGCCCGATACAGACCCTTTAACTCGAAGCATCCATGAAGCTCTTAGAAGAATTAAAGAAGCATCCCCTGAGTCAGAGGATGAAGAGGAGACTTTGCCTTGCACAGACTGGGAGAACTAACAAGTAAATGGCCTTACTGTCCTTATAGCATTAAAGTAATATAGCTTTTATATTGGGTGATGGGGCCTAGTTGTGGGGTTTTGGGGCTTTTTTTTTTTTTTTTTGCTATAGAAGGTGCATATGCTTACAGACATGAGGAGAGACAGAGGAGGTAAACCCCCCACATGAAACATGGTCACCCCACAGTCCCTTTTCCTCTGTCTCTCAGGATGTTGGGCATGCATGCACATAAGCCTGCCATGTTTCTCCAGCCACCGGGTCTGAGACTTGAACCACACAGTAAGCCATATGGGATCCAGCACTCTTAACTACTAGTCCATGGACTGGCCTGGACCTAGTATTTTTATTGAGGCTTATTATTATGCACCTGATTTATAGCATGAATCATCAATTTGTAAACTTTTGCTTTACTTAATTATGTAGTTTCTAGCAACTTAAGATATAGAAAAGTACTTTTAAAGGACAGTTATTACATAAATGCTACGTTTTTGTCTTGTTTTGTTTTGTTTTTTGAGAGGTTTTTGCTACAGGGCGCATACACTCGCCAGACAGAGAGACAGAGGGACAGAAAGTGAGAAATCACCCCCCAGGGGGGATGGCCACACCACAACCCCTTCTCCTCTATTCTCCTCTTGGGATCTTGGGCACGCATGCACACACGCCCGGTATGAGTTTAAGCCACCGGGTCCAGAACTCGAACAGCAGTCAGCTACGTGGGAGTTCAGCGACATAGCCATTACGCTAACTGCTGGCCCCCATAAATGCTATGTTTTTATATCTTGTAAATTGAAAGTTTTTGTCATCCAGCTGTATACCAGGTAAAGTGACAGTCTTATTGCCGTAAAAAACAGAAAAGGTGTTTTCTGAGTATTTCAATTACAAGTTGTTCTGTGCATTGAGTTTTGTTGTCTTATTAGCTGCCAGAAAGGGATTGTGTAAGATTAGTCTAGAAAAATTGTTGCATTGTCTGATTAGTTAGCTTTCTAAACTATTAAACCTACTCAGATTTATCAGTTACTTCATTGTCTAGGTTAATTTGCAGCTCTCAGTAACTAATATATAAAATCTACATCTATCTTACTCAGTACCCCTTGCATATTGAGGTTCTCTTTGATTATACATGTGACATTCTATAAAGAAATAGAATCTACTCCATTTTAGTAGGTTAACTACAGAGTAATGTGGCATTTATACCAAATATGTAGAGTAAGTAGAAATAACACAAGTGTAACTGAAATATTATAGTTTGTGCAAAATGTATAAAGTATGCTAACAGGTTCTATTCATTACTGTGCTCTCTTGCTGGAATATGGTTCTGTCGGCTTCCCAGCAGTCACCAAAAGAGGGAAGACTTAAATCCTGGAGGGAGTAAATAAAGAGATCATTCACTTATTTGTTACACAGTGATTCTTAAATGTATTTGATCATAAGAATTAACTGCAGACTCCTGGCCTCGATTAGAAAATTCTGAGTAGGTTTCATGTATATGTAGGTTCACATCTGGATTTTGAAAACTGTGTGCAAAAAATATAATCTTTATCAGTTTTTAAATACTGAATACACATTGAAAGATACTGTTTTGGTTGTATCAAATAAAATATTACTAAAAGCAGTTTGGTCATGGATCCATCAGGAAAATGTTCTACTAGCATTTCTCCAGCCACCCCTTCACATCAGCATTTGTACCAATCAGTAGTTTAACAGCAGGATGAAAACCCACATTCTGGGGAACCAGCAGTTAGCGTAATGGCTATGTCGCTGGACTCCCACGTAGTCGACTGCGGTTCTGTCTCGGACCCGGTGGCTTAAATCTCACGCCATGCACGTGTGCGTGCGTGCCCAAGACCCCGAGAGGAGAATGGAGGAGAAGGGATTGCGGCGTGACCATCCCCCCTGGGGGGTGATTTCTCGCTTTCTGTCTCTCTGTCTCTCTCTGTCTGGCAAGCGCACGCGCCCTATAGCAAAAACCTCTCCAAAAAAAAATTTTTTTTAAAAATTAAAAAAAAAAACAAAACCACATTCTGCTTGATTCGTGAATGTGTACTTAACATGATTCAGGCAACATTCACTAGTCCCATCGTCCCCCTCCTTTCCTGTTATGTATAGAGACCCTACCTGTTGTTACTTTTTGGGTCCTCAGATAACTTCTAGCCATTTTTGCTTGTACATGAGTACTCTGTGCTTCATAGAGGAATATCAATGTGTCTACTCAGTGTGTGGTTGTCTAGAGATTCAGGTGTATCTGTCTGGGAATCTGTACCACTGTGGATATTCGGAGATTGTCTCTCACTTGACATTTCTTGCTAGCTATTGTGTTGACTCCTTCAGCTTCTAGCTTCTTAGAGAACTGCTAAAGCCTATGCCAAAAACTACCCCCTTCAGGCTAATTGAGACCTGTGAAAGGCCACCTGTGGGATGAACGTGTGTTTGGGCCTTTCATGAAAGCTGGCCTGCACTGACCCCAGCAGAGCACACCAGCTGCCCAGGCCATCCGTCCTTGTTGGTCTTCTCCCGTCCCTCCAGATGTTGCCAAACATAGATGTGGCACCAGCGTCTTTGTATACTCTGGTGGCTGCCATGTTATTGGTAGCTTCTGACTGCTAATTTAGCATTAGTACCAAATGTTAAGAATGTGCCCATTTGAAAATGGCCTAAAATCTTTTTGGAGGAAGAGGAGGTTGATTGCTTGTGGCTAGTGTATGTGGTAGAGTGTTGAGAATTAACCAGTGAAACACTCCCAGGCAGCGGATGAGTTCAGATACCTGCCTCGCTCTTTCAGCTTACCTGTGCCAAAGGCACACCGTAGGCCAGTTGTGATACCATTGACTGGCCCAGTAGTGAGGACGCTTTGTGATCTTGGAGAATAGTTTTCAGACTCTGAACATCTAGGTAATTTTTTACAAATGGCTGAACAAGCTATCATTTTTATTTCCTGTTAATTTAGCTGATTTCTTCCTTACAGATTTTAATTCATTAATGTTACTATGTATGTTTTTTTAAGAGCGAATTTCTTGAAACCTCATTAAATAAGAGTTAAGGTTCCCACTTCTGCCTTATCCCCCCGCAACTCTTCCCAGGTAGCCAAAGTTAATAGTGTCCTTCAAAGGGATTGCTAAACATTAGGAAGTGTACATAATTTTATTGACTTTTTTTTTGGAGAGGTTTTTCGCTATAGGGCGCGTGCGCTCGCCAGACAGACAGAGAGAGACATAGAGACAGAACGTGAGAAATCACCCCCCAGGGGGGATGGTCATGCCGCAATCCCTTCTCCTCCATTCCCCTCTCGGGATCTTGGGCACACATGCGCACACACCCGGCGTGAGTTTTAAGCCACCAGGTCTGGGACGCGAATCGCAGTCAACTACGTTGGAGTCCAGTGACATAGCCATTACACTAACTGCTGGTTCCCTATAATTTTATTGACTTTTAAAGTAAGTTTCTAATTTCTTTTCTGTGAGATCATTCTTAAATTTGCCACATATCTATAACACTGTCCAATAGGAATATAATGTGAGCCACTGTAATTTAAAAACTTTTCTAATAGCCACAAAAATAGTAAAAAGGAACATGAAATTTATTTTATTGATAGTAATATTTTATTTGACATCACGCAGCCAAAATAATACCTTTCAGCATGTAATCAACATAAAGAAATTCATGATGTAGTTTGATCTTCTTTCTTTTTTGTTAGTGCCAGGTCTTCAAAATCCAGTGTGTATTTTACACTTACTAGTAGCCTATCAATCAAGATTGATTCAAATGCTAAATATTCAGTGGTTAAAGAGAACTCTCCTATCAAAAGAATAAAATTGTATTTAATGGAAAAATGTGTTATTTCAGATTTGAACTTAAATTGAGGTAAAAGCCTGGTTTTTCACACTGCTGTGACTGAGAATCGAGCAGTGGTCAGCCATGTGGGATTTAGTTTTCTATTTCTATTTGTAGTACTCCACAGCTGGGCTCAGGTCCAGTACTCTCTATTGAGTTTTTGGTTTTTTGTTTGTTTGTTCTTTCATTTTGTCAAAGGATACATGCACTCACCAGAAGCGAGGTGAGGGAGTAAGTGTCAAAGCACCCCCCCATAGGAATGGCCATGGCACAGTCCCTTCTCTGGTTCTCCTGAGGGATTTGGAGCATGCACGCGCTCGCTCCTGGAGTGTTTCTGAAGCCAGTGGATCCAGGATTTGAACCATGCAACAGTTATGTGGGATCCAGCCCTCTATTGAATTTTAAAGATACCATTCAATAGTTGTAATTCTATTGCTGGTTCCTGGAACAAACATTTTGGATTAGATTATAATTACTGTTTTAATTATAATTATTATTTTAATTATAGCTTTGACTCAAAATGTTAAAAGTAAGATAAAAATGAATCTAATAGCCTCTTAAGGATCAGAATTCATATTCAGGTCACTTTGTTTTTATTTTGATTGCTTTAAGAAGAGAAACATATCCTTTTTAAAGTGTCTCCTTGATACTGTAGCATATAAATGGGCCTTTGTGAGGAAAGAATTTTAAAAAAACATTGTTCATGCTGGGTATGAGGGAACATACATACACAACAGTCTTTAAAAGGTTATTATCTTTTTTAATACAGTGTATTATTTTGTTTATAAACAGGAGACTTAACAGAAAGAAGAATATCTACAGTTGAAGATCCGTTCTGAATCTTTTGGAAAACAACAGTTTAAGCACTCGGTTTCACGGTTGGATTCCATTAGATCCAAAGTGTATTGGCTCAGTGGTGAAAAGAGGAAGCACAAACGGCAGGCTATCACTTTCTAGTCATTCCGGTAGACCGCTACCATGAGCTTTAGAGGTGCAGTGTTCTGGCTGCAAAAAAAGAAAAGGCCTCTGGAGATTCCTGTTTTTTTACATACCTTCCCCTCCCATCTGCCCACTCACTTCTTTGTAGTGGCCATTTAAGCTAGGGGTTGCAATTAATTGAAGACACTGGGTCGACAGATCTGCTGTGAACCACATTGGGACTGCTTTGAGATCCATCTTCCAGTGCATTGAAAATAGAAAGTTTTTTATCAGCTTATATAAATAGTGCAACACTCTGAAAAAGAAGTTGATCATGGTAACTACTACAGGTCAGGAATTAAAATCAGATGGAAATGCACTTAGAATTTCCACATCAGTCATCTCCAAAGGAGTTTTCATAAAGATGTTCAAAATGGAGATAGACCTATTCATGTGTTTACCACAACATGATACATTTAACATGGCATATTTTTAGACGGCCACACAGTCTTTACACTTTGTAAGGTTTTGAAGTAAAAATTTCCATGCTTTTAAATAGTTCTTCATAATTCCAAATTTATAATAGTTTGACTTTTATGTGCATCCTTGTTTATGAGAAGCAATACTTTGTAATTTCATAATATTTCAAATTATTTTTAGTCTTTTCGTTGGAACTATTGCTTGGTTGCTATAACTCACATGACTTTCCTATTGAGGATCAGAAATCAAGATTCAGTAATGGGGATGCAGGTCTTAACTCTTTATCATGCACCATTTTAGGTTGTCATTTTTATGCTCCACAGTGAAAGGCACGACAAAGGAGACAAGCAGAAAAGTCTCCTTGGCTCCCATTTCACTATCACACGCTTTGAATGGAGTTTTGGGCGAGTCTTTGTTACTGTCACCGATACTTTAAACCTATGTATGTAGCGCTGGGTGCTGATTTTGCCCTAACAGAGTGAAGGACACAGTTATACGAGTGGAATCATAATGGCTTTTCAGCAGAACTGTTGTGGGCTCAAATGAAGGTAGATAGGCTGGACCCGGTGTACAGAACTGTACCGGCTGTGATTCTGCATAGGACAGCTCTTGCCTTTAAGTGGAAGGATTTAAGGCCTGAAGTCCCAAAAGAACGTTCTTACGAGGCACTCTGGCCTAGGGACAGAAAGCAGTACTAGAGGAAGAGGCCTCTGATGTGTATGAAGTGGTGTTCCTGGAGTGAAAAAGAAATGTTCACGTCTGTGTGGTTTTCAGATGTTACTTTCTTTAAAGTAATTATGGGGAAAATTTTCTGGCACCAGGTTAGATAAAACAAAGCCTTTCTGCTTAAATGTTGAGAATATGTTTATTACTGAAACTGACGGGCTTTCCCACATCTTATCTGGGAAGGTTAGAAAACGCAGATCTAATATATAAACTTTATCCAAAAACTGGTTGGGGAAGAGTCCTATATACCTTTAATTAAGCATTAAAGCATGATTTTTAACCCAAAGAACAATTGGTTAGATTGTTTATATGTTTGTTTTTTGGTTATCTGTTTGTTTGTTTTGGTTTTTTTGTTTGTTTTGAGAGGTTTTCGCTATAGGGCGCGTGCGCTCGCCAGACAGAGAGAGACATAGAGACAGAACGTGAGAAATCACCCCCCAGGGGGGATGGCCACGCCGCAATCCCTTCTCCTCCTTTCTCCTCTCGGGATCTTGGGCACGCACGCACACGCACCCGGCATGAGTTTAAGCCACCGGGTCCGGGACGCAAACCACGGTCAACTACGTGGGAGTCCAGTGACATAGCCATTACACTAACTGCTGGTCCCGGTTAGACTGTTGATATGTTTTAAAAATTCTTAAAGCAAATTTGTAGACCATTTAAAAAATCACGTATCGGTTTTATCCTGTTCATTTTTTTCATGTATCCATGTATCAACATTACATGTCTCCAGTTTTTTGGAAGCTCACTCATAACTTTTTTTCATTTATTCAACTTGATAAAAATAAGGATGCAATGTTAAATTAACAAAAAACACTGGAACCTTCCTCTCTTGAGAGGGAATTGCTCCTCATTTAGTGTTACAGTTGTGTTGGATTATAAAGCATGCTCATGGGAGAGTCCTGTGGCTCATCTTCCTAAGCCACATTGCTGTAAGTCTCCAGGAAACACGGGAGGGTGTACAGAACTCAGTGACTCTTGCGGGGATGTGTCCGTAACTCCCAGCACATCCCATTGTAGCAGTCGCAGTCCCCGAGAGTTACCTCAGAGCTAAGCTACAGAGGGTAGAGCAGAGTCTTGTCGGCAGCGCGCTGTGTTCATTGTCTGGTAAACGACTTTCTCTAACACACCCATTTCTCTGTCTCAAGATTCAGGTTTCTATTTCCATAAAATTACACATTACTGCTGGTCACAAACCTTTGGATTTATTCACAAGTAATGCTAAAATTTCAAAAAACTAGAATCCACTTAGCCTTTATCAAGATTTATCAGTTGAACCCTCATGTTAATTCTAAAGTGGTTTCAGAACCTTACAGAAATTACATAGACATGGGTTTTTTTTCTGGCCCTGAATAAACCGAAGCTCTTTAATATTAAATTTGTATATAGTAAGTTACTTATAAATGATGTTTTCAATTCCAACCTTGCCTGTTTCTGTATGGTTCGAAATATTTGAGTTATATTTCTGTTAGTGAATCATTTTGTATCCACCAATCAGTTGCTTGCTTACTCTGAATCAATTTAGAATTTTCAATATAGCCTCAACTGCAATTTTTTTAAGTAAGGAAAACACATACATGATGACTTCAGGATGCTTTAAGATTAATGTTACTGCTCACTTGAATGTCATTTTCAAATTTCTCCTAATACAACCGAAATGATGTATGTATAGCCAGTGCAGCATGTATAGAAAAGGTCTTCTGAATGATTTAAAATCCTGGTTGTCTGTAATGTCTGTAGTGTACTAATATAAGGAAATACCAGGCTCTAGAGGATTTTTTAAAAGATGAACAATTGTTTTGCTTATTTGAAATATGTTTTATAGACTTCCTGATTTTGTGAGCAGCATAAAAAACAATCATCCCTTAGTTCTTCATTGGAACTGAATTTTTTTTTTATAAAATGTGTATTTAAGGAGACTCAGGCACAGCTGTAATATATATAGTTTTTTCACAGAGGCAATGTGGAGCTTTTCCCGTAACGTGAAACCGTAGACAGCTTTCAGCACTTTCACTGTATTGTTTCTGCCAAGTTGAATTCGGTAGCAGTATCGGGTGAAACACGCTGTGGCCACATTGTGACACCAACGTGTTACACTGTAAAGCATGCTTTGACCTTAGTAGGCACTAAGAATTAAAACTCTAAATCAATGGAACAAAAAACTCTAGTGGGCAGCATCCTATTTAGAATGGGACCAGTCTATAACTCTTACAGTTTAATCGTGTACAGCCCCTAAGACTCCATTCTTAAATTGCATTCCCTTAGTGTGTTTGTGTACAGTTAAGTCAATGCTTGTAGCCTAAGGAAAGCTTTTTCTTTCACTAAAGGTTTTGTTCGGCTTTATTATTTAAGTAATGTGCACTTAACATCATATACAGCCATCATCACCCTGTAAAGTACTATTGGGTCCTTAAAGGTCCTATCAGGGAGTTAAAATTTCACACACTTACCAGGTTATTTATAAAACACAAACAGTTGTAAGACATTTCATAACAGTAGACACATTGTTAAAATGCAACCATTTGGTAATGAAAGCAGAAACCTTAAGTTTCACCTAATTCTTGCACTGAATATAAGTCTTAATATAAATTTAATTGTGCATTTTACACAGATTTTATTTCCCATTTATTGCGTAGCATAGAAAATTACCTATGCTTGGAGTTGGAGGTCTGACCAGCAGGCTTTATTCCAGATGGAAGAGGGGTAAGAAAATAGAAGCACCTTACTGTCCGAGCATGTTGCATTATTTCGTGCTGCTGAACACTTCAGTAGTTATTTCCGAACTTTGCTGCAAAGTGCTCTTTAGTTAAAGCACATTAAGAATCTCTGCTTAATTGCTTTGTAAAATGAAGCAATGGTATTTTTTATCTTGTAGTGTAATTTAAAAGTTTTTCCTACAGAATGAGTTTATATTGCTGCCTAAACTATCATGTATGTAAACAGAGGTTTTTAAAGAGAGGGAGTCTGGATTCAGTGTGTGTGTGTGTGTGTGTGTGAGAGAGAGAGAGAGAGAGAGAGAGAGAGAGAGAGAGAGAGAGAGAGAGAGAGAGAGAGAGAGAGAGAGAGAGAGAGAGAGAGAGAGAGAGAGAGAGAGAGAGAGAGAGAGAGAGAGAGAGAGAGAGAGAGAGAGAGAGAGAGAGAGAGAGAGAGAGAGAGAGAGAGAGAGAGAGAGAGAGAGAGAGAGAGAGAGAGAGAGAGAGAGAGAGAGAGAGAGAGAGAGAGAGAGAGAGAGAGAGAGAGAGAGAGAGAGAGAGAGAGAGAGAGAGAGAGAGAGAGAGAGAGAGAGAGAGAGAGAGAGAGAGAGAGAGAGAGAGAGAGAGAGAGAGAGAGAGAGAGAGAGAGAGAGAGAGAGAGAGAGAGAGAGAGAGAGAGAGAGAGAGAGAGAGAGAGAGAGAGAGAGAGAGAGAGAGAGAGAGAGAGAGAGAGAGAGAGAGAGAGAGAGAGAGAGAGAGAGAGAGAGAGAGAGAGAGAGAGAGAGAGAGAGAGAGAGAGAGAGAGAGAGAGAGAGAGAGAGAGAGAGAGAGAGAGAGAGAGAGAGAGAGAGAGAGAGAGAGAGAGAGAGAGAGAGAGAGAGAGAGAGAGAGAGAGAGAGAGAGAGAGAGAGAGAGAGAGAGAGAGAGAGAGAGAGAGAGAGAGAGAGAGAGAGAGAGAGAGAGAGAGAAATGTTTGTCCATTGAGTTACTTTGTTTTGCCCACAGTGAATTTACAACCTAGCATTTGTAGAATTTAATTGATTGACTTCCAAATTGATAGCTGTTTCTCCCCTTTAACAAACACGTTTGTTTGACACTGTAAGGCATATGTACAGAAAATACCTCTGAGGTTGACATGTTAAATATTTTATGAATGTTATTTCACATTGAATCTCAAAGCAGTCATTTGTTTTGAGGGTTGGGGGAAGTGTTTTGTTTTGTTTCTAATTCTTGTACAACTATGATTGGCTCAATATGGGGAGTTGGGAGTGGGTAGGAAAGACCTTGAAAAGTGATGTTTAGATAAAAACAAAATGTATGGACGTTGTTTTTAGAGTTCAGTTTTACCCAGGGAAATTTCTGGGTATTTTTTTACTTGCATGTTCTATGGTTAACTATCAAGGGTATAACAAGTTTTAGTTATTACAGCTTTCCCCAATACTAATTATATTGGTTTTTGGAAGTCCCCATAATCACAAGGTCACATTTTCCCTTCGTTTATGAACTAAGAGGGGTAGGTGACGCAACCCGTCCAGTGACTTCTGACTTCACCTTTGACAGAATCCCCACTGTCCTGTTGAGTTTTCATTGTACTGTACGTCTCGCCGGGTGTGAAGCCATAATGTGTACTTTATGGCAAATGGGAGGCTACAGATCATTTTGCATGAATAAAGCCTAATAGGCTAAGGAGACTGACATGTTTTTCAGCCTTTCTGGGTAAATTAAAACTTTAATGGCAAACTGATTCACCATTTACTAGCTTTGTGTGCAATATTATAATGGTAGAAGCAAAACACTAGCACATTGTGCTTGGCTTTTAAGGATGGCTTTAACATAATTACATTAAATGGACAATGTGCACAGTGTATTGTAAATGGCAACTCTTGCAAATTTACAATACTTAAATATGCTCAATTAACATTCTAAAGTATTAAAAGTACAAAGAAATAACTAAGCAAGCATTTATAGCAATACTATCTCCAATAATTGTTTTGACTGTTGCCTTTTGCTCTTTAGTGCAACTTTTCTGCATTGTAATTATTGTACTGCTTTGTATTTCATGTTTTTTACACTCATGACTTCAGAGTTAAGTACTTGTACACCAAGTATTGCAATCACCTTTCTCTTATTGTACATGCAATGTAACAACATACAGTTTTGGTGCTTAATAATACTCCTTTTTTTCTTTAATAAAGGATATTTATTTGAATTAACCTGACTTTGTTTAAAATAGCCTTGGTAGTCGATACCTTCACTACATTTCCCATAGGAGGGCCATAGCACACTGTGCATTTGTTAGCTCATGTTACAGTGTGCAGAAGATCCAGAGACTGTCCACCTCTGCACGGCTGGCTCTTCCCGGGCACTGTTTGTTAGGAAGTTTGAGTTTGTCTGCTTGTTAGGTTTTTCTTTATTTTGTAGACAAGATTGCAGTGTGCGGCTGTCCTCCAGCCTCAGCCCCCTGCCC